TTTTCCAGCCTGACAGAATAGAAATATATTACTCAAAAAACGCAGCATGATATTAATTCAAATATACAACAATTATGGGTGAAAATTTAAATGTAAATTTTGAAAATAATCCATAATCTCTATAAAATTGTCAAATCAGAATAAAACCAAACCACAACCAGGCCAGAAAGTGATTTAAACTAGTGTATGAATGCTTTTTCATCCATATCTTACAAAATAAAAGTTATTATCATGTTACAAAATATCCTGATACTGTTTAAGATTTTTTTTTATTTTATTTTAACCATTAGCTTTACGGTGACATACAGACTTTTGGCAACTTTAAGATTTGGTGTGAGAGAAACAGTTCTGTGGTGATAAATCGCTAGTTCATGACATTGATAAAATGCAGCACTCGACATCACAGTTTTTACACAGAAAAACTCATGTGGGCTACTTATTTACAACTCTGTTTAGGGTTTAGTCTTTATGCTTCTATTTGAGTTTGTGTAGGTAAAGGCATGAAATCAACACTTACCCTTATTTGTAATAAAATGTATTTATTTAGGTGTCATTCAAATGAAACTGTAGATCCTTGCAAAGGGTAAAGACAAGGCAACTTAACAACTGGCAACACAAAAGAAAAAAAATCCATTGGACAACATAAATTTAACAGCAATATAATAAATTCTCTAAGGTACTCTTTTTTCATCATTCCATAAAGCAATATTTAAACAGGCTAATATTTGCTCCCAGACTGTAACGTTCAGTCACAAAAGACAAGTCCCAAACCAGGGATCCCCACAGCAGAAGATAATATACATTATACAAGGTGTGCAAAGAGTGGCACTTCCAAACACTCCAAATTTACTCCAAATTTGTCACCTGCTTTCTCCCACCAAATCTTTATTTTTTATTATCAAGAGCCTAGTAATTCACAATAACCCTTTCAACTGATACAGCCCCCTTTCTACCTTGGGTGTTCTGACTCGTTATGCACCTTCAAAGGATCTGAACTGCACCTCACATGGGATTTTGCCCCTTCACACTGAATTTACTGAGGTATTCCTCGATAGCAAAGGTTTTCTTTATTCCATTTATGTCTAAATGCTTCCTACCAAAGCCTTCAGCTTTTTTATTTCTCTTTACCTGCTACACTCACTCTATCGCTGATTTCAAGTTTTTGAAAAAGTACATGACAAAAAAAAAAAACTCAAAGCAGGCAACATCTATACCTACTTAGTGTTCCAACACATTTGCTAGGAGCTACTCAGATGAGATGCTTGCTTAAAAACCTAAAAACCGTGAAGGAAAGGAACACGATCTCTGGTTGTAACAAAAATATATATAATCTAAATTAGGTGCTTTTTTTCTTATCAAATATGTCAAATATAATAATAAGCAAATTTTGTTTTCATTTAACACCTGTTTTAAAGAGACACTTCATGAGATACAATGGTTCTGTACTAACAGAGTATCTTAATCTATTTCACTTTAATAAGAAAAAAAACAATTTAACAGCATCCTCAAATTTGCTTAGCTTGCAGAAGCAAATAAATAAAATCTCTGACCTTTACCAGCATTTTGCTAGTTTCTAGGCCAGTCTACCTGGATATTAGGTAGGTAAACTGAATTTCTGGAAGTTTCTGTGGATAAGCTGTAAACTCCTGAAACAATGCTGTTCACCTGCAAGGTAAAATTACGAAAAACTTAAGCCCAAGGTAGTGAGGTAGTGCTCCCAAATGAGAAACTACCGAAAGACCTACTTTCTGTTCTTTCTCAGTTAACCCTCTCCTGTAAAAAATTCTGCTTGATTATCTTTGAAGTGGAGCAGAGCTACCTGGAATCCGTACCACACTGAATGTAGTGCTAATATCATCTTTCTTCTATCCCAGTGTTTTGCAGGTCAGTAACTGCTTCAAATTCTGGAAAAACAAGGCAATGGAAAGAGACAGCAATTTTTATATGATGATATATGTCAATACTTCTTTATTCGATTTTACATGTGAGTTAACAGAGGCACACACTAATCACTAAATCTTAGCAAGCAGACCAAAACTGGATTCGCAGAGTATGACTTCTACTACTCTTCAACAGGAAATCCATTAAAAATTACCTTGGTGTACATATTCCTTCGCAGCACAAGCTCTGACAGTTTTCAGATGCACTTATGAATGAAAATGGCACACACAAGCAACCCACACTGGCAGAGAAACAAATTTAAATTCCAGCCCAGTATTACCAAAAATACATGAGAATATTTTTACCACATCTAGTCTGGCTTATGATCCTGTTATCTTTCATCTTCTGTATCTAGAATCCTTTTACTCTAAGCCTCAACTTCTCCCTCATTAAGGAACAATTCTGTTTACATAGATAAAAGCTACTGTGATCAACCAAAATCAGTCTAAATCCATGGATGGCAGATGTGTTACAAGTTAACACCTGGATAACCCAAAATCTCTTATCTAGTCCTATATAATCCGCCTCACAAATTGACACTAACACTGAAAAAGTGACTACACACACCTCACTGCTCTTCCTATATTTATTTAGCACAAATTGATGTCACAACCTGTATCTCAAATATCTCCTCTCATGAATTATTCCCCTTCATTAATTCCACACATTTCATCCTAAGCAGTACAAGTCAGCAGAGGAAGCCTCATTGAAGCCTCCTTGAATGATAGCACTTCGCAGTCTCTCTGTCATCACTGAGCCAATATATGACTTAAACAATATATATGGAATTTATAATGGCTTTCTTTAACGGTCAGGTGGAGAAACATAAAATGGCACAGCCTACATGCTGTGACTGTCACATTACAATTAAAGCTTTATATTCCTGTGCTTTAGAATCCTGGGTATCTCCTGCAGCAAGTATAAAATTATTTCTCACCTCCACAGGTTTTTAATTATTTTCAGACAACTATTCCACCAATTCTTTCACACTTTTGCAAAAAGTTATATGAAAAGACATCCTGATTTACAGTCTTGCATTTTAAAGTGATACAGACAATTCCAAAATCATATTTCTACATGAAAATATCCTTTCACTAATCTCTTTACTGGTACTGACAAAGGCTACTCTGAATAACAGACTGCAAGAGAAAATCCCCCACTTTGCTGCTTTGGATCTTTCATGCTGTTTCTAACTAATTTGTGCGCAAGTTGGTACTTCATTATGATAATATTTTTTTTTTCCTAATGGCAAAATATAGCAGAGCCATGAAAAACTACTGCTAGGCATCAATAAATTTGTGCATTTTAAACTTTTTTAGCTTAAGCTGGCTACACATTTCAAGCCAGTTGTTTTGTCCTTTAAGGCCAATTTAGTTTCTTTTAGGCTTGGCTAGACTCAGACATAGCTTAAGAACTTTTCCAATCAAACAGGGCCACAAAGCTGCTTGAATCACAACTTTAACCACCTAGACCTACACCCAAATATTTATGGTGAATCAAGACTGGCTATTGTTGCACTAATCACTACCTTAGCTCCATCCCAAAATTGTTTATGTGTTTAGAAAGAGGTGTCAGCTGTTACGTTATCCATCAGCTGTGTCAAGCCCTGAGTAAAAGGTATGGTATTGCTCACTATACTGTTACTATATATTAGTTTCTATGGGTCATTAAAATTACTTTTTTTGGTTCATGCCATGCCTTTCTCTATTTGCTCTGAATATAATTCAGCTTTCTTATGACTTTCTCATGACTACCCACTGAAGATCCGCTTGGAAAGCTAGTTAGTAATTATTTAGTTATGAATGATTGGACAGGGAGACTTAAGCCTCTATCGTGACCAACTGGGTGGCCTTAATTTGCTGCTAATGTTACTGGGCTGTGATACACTAATGTTCTATGGGCAATAGCTCTGAGTGGGCAGAACTATACAGCAGATGATCTCACAGATCTTTTCTGTCCCATTGTGTGATAACTCAGCAATATGCAGTTATTGGGCAGGACAGGAGCAACACAGGTAGAGCAGCCCAGTGCCGGGCAAGTCTGCATTTATGAGGAAGGTGATGTTCTCAAACAGCTACCCTGCCTTGGAAGAGGTTTGGAAATAACAGTCACATCCTCTAAAAAATTCTGGGTTGCACCAAGTCTGGACAGAGAGCTGAGTGTAAGAGCAGTAACAGAAACAGAAGAAAACCGCTCTCATCCAGCACTTTTTTCTTGTAAGTACTGAGATCTGAAACAGAAATAAATAAACCAACAACTTTGTATTGAGATTAAGTGGTAATTTAAGGCTTGCTTTCAGCTATCACTAAATTAATTACAGTATGACATCAGCATCAGTATTATAAACTTAAGGTACTTATTAGGACACCTGTGTTCTGTTTCTTATCATTATTGTTCACTTTGAGACACTCAAGTGGTGTCACCACCACTACAGAGCAAACAAGTCAGTCACAATTTCATACCTCCTCCCGTGAAAGATCCATTGTTGTGAAAACATCATAGAATTAAAACAAACAAAAACCCCACCACCCAACAACAAAACACAAGTAACAGACTGTTGAGAGACATACTAGAGACAGGAATCGCTGGGGATTTTTTTTTTTGTTGTTGCTTCGTTTAGGGGAAAAAGATTTTTACCTTTTTTTTTT